ACAAACACATACATGTATACCGTCGGCGAACTCTTAGAATCGTTCGTGGTCTCGGGAGCAACCGTTGTCACGTAGTAGTAGTAGTAGTAGTAGTAGTAGTAGTAATGATGGTAGTAGTAGCAGTATAAGTAGTAGTAGTAGTAGTAGCAGTATTAGTAGCAGTATTGGTAGTACTTGGTTTTATCTTTCAGTGTGGCTAGCGGAGGTTAGGCTTACTGTTCCGCCTCTCTATGATAAACACGCTGTCGTAATCTCGATTATCGAGGTGATGTGCGTGATGGTCACGATCACGGTTCGGGGGGGCCTGCTCGTGGACCGGCTCCGAGGTGGCAGTGGCGGGGGTGGTTACTTGCGTAGGAAGTGGTGGTTGATGAAGAGGTTGTGGTGGTGGTGGTGGTAGTTGCGGATTCAACGGGCTGCAACGGGTCAGCGTCGAGACTGACTCGTCGCACGCGTTTAGATTTGTCGACCTACAGAAAACACAGAGAGAGAGGAGGACAAGAGACGCCCACGTTTTTTCCTTATTTTTTTTTTTCATTCTAACAGACTTCTCCATAAGTATAATTATTTTCTCTACCCGCGTATCCTCGACAGATTTTCTATCGCGTTTCTTAAAAAGCAGAGAGACCGAGAGGCTGACGTTCCGATCTTCCCTCAGCGTTAAAATTACTTTCACTTCTGGTCGGAAGAACCTCTCGATCCCCGGCAGGACTGTCTTTGACTCGCGTTGGCTCTCTTCTGATCCTTGCTCTGACCGCGAGGGTTCGATCAGCTCCACATTCGTAGCTCGCACCGCGTTTTCCTCTCAATTTTCAATTTCGACCTGAACAGTTCCGCCCGTGATAGATACCGAATAATAAATAAATGTATAAATTTATACGAACGCGCCGTAACGCTGAGCGAGAACCGATATCCAACCGCCGCCGCGTACGGCTACGAATCCGGAACTGGAAGCGATAATCTTGGCAGTGGCTGAACCGTCCAGCCCGTTCTGGATATACGTGTTTGTAGGTATAAACGTGCATTATCGGCTCGCGGCTCGTGAAAACCCTCGGGAGGAACGCGAATGATACGGCTGAATGGTAAACGCGTCCCGTGGAAACCGAAAAATAGGGGGTTTATCGCGAGGGTGACGCGTCGAGGAGAACCAAACGAAAAATGGGAAGAAAGCCACGGCGGATATTTATACTCGAACATTTGCCGGCTGATAACGGCTAGGTACAAATTTACATTAACGCCCGACCGAACGGTTAACTTTCGCGGTATTTTATTACGTCGACCGACGCCAATCGTCGAAATTAATGTTGACGCTCCGGCACGTCGACGGCGATTTACTATACGCCGGAATCGTTCGCTAATTCATCGCGTGGATTTAATATCGGCCGCGTAAATACCGTGCGCGCATTAATTACGTTAATACAAACATTAGCATTTCTATCTCGAGCTGATATTTCCCGAAACACGCATTACCCGGTCTCGCAAATCTGTTGAACATTGGTTATACTCGTATGAATTCCGCTCACGATTCTCAACCAATTCTATTTCTCTCGTCATACATCTTCGCGAAGGGGTTTAAAAGAAGAACACCGCCGCGATAAGCCCGCTAAGCTTTGATTAAGACGTGTAGAGAAAAAAAAAAGTACGCGGAGAAACGATCGGGGGGGCGAGGGATTAGGGGCAGATGAAAATGAAGGACGGTGCGAGTGAAATTGAATTTCCGCAAAACTTTCAACGAGTCAGCGGCGGGTGAACGAACGAGAGAGAAAGACCGTTTTGTGCAGGGGATGACGGGGGGGTGTGGAGATGAAAAAAAGAAACGGGCGTCGAACGACAAACGAAATGGCTCGTCGCGGGAAACAAAGGCGACATACGAATCCAGAATAGGCATCACTGCAGTCGTATTGTGGACTTTTGGATGCCACGATGGAAATCATAATAGTCGGCTGAGTACCCGCTACTACGCGTGCGGTAGTCCGTTCGTTGGCGTGATTTCAAAGCTTGAACACCTCGCTGTTATCGAGGCCGATTATTATTCATACATACATACGTATATGGTATATATATGTATAAGTACGTACGATTCGTCGGGAAATGCGATGACGTCGGCGCGGCGAGCGTGTGCCTCTCACGCACATTTCACGATCGTTTCTCGTTTTCTCTTTTAGTCTGTCGTTTCTCTTTTATAGCAGGCATCGCATCGTCCGAGGACGAACCGTTTCCCTTTGCTTTTCATTCTTTTTTTTTTTTTTGCTCTTTTTCCGCTTGCCTCCGCGGCTACGAAAGCTGCACGCTGACGCGACGGAAGACGAGAGAACGCGGGGCCCGAGCGAACCACGTCCGATCTGATCCGGAATCGACCTTTCTTTACCCGAGGGTCACAAGGACTACGATTTCTCGAACATAGAAACGAAGCCACGGTTTGCTTTCCAAATAGAATGTACAAAGAGCTAACAGGCTGTAATTATTAATTGATCGGGAATAAAAGTTGCTAAGTTGACTTTGGCATGAAAACACGAAGTGAACTTCAAGTCGGGTTTCTCGGGTCAGCGAAATAGAGTTGGAACGAGTTGATCAGCTTTTCGTGAAGATAATTGGATTCGCACATACACCGGCGGGGGTGTATCGATCGTGGTCGTATGACAAAAAAAGAAAGGGGAGTCGCCTCGGTTAGGGTCGGTCGGATCCTCTTTTCTGCTTCTCGCGCGACCTGTCTCCGTCTCGTTTGCTCTCGAAATTAAATTATACCGCCGTAGACCCGAACAGTTCGGCGAATCCAGCTATTTTATCAGAGGAAACGACGATTCCGGAGACCGAACGCGAAGGTGCCGTTCGCTCGTGGCCCCGTAGGACTCCCGCGCGCTCTGCACGCAAACGCGAATCGTATGTATGTTCCTGACGTTACGTATGTACATTCGTCGATCGTTTCGCGCGAAACCGATCCAAACCTCGTCCAAAATACCTCTGCTGCTGCGGTTTAGTCTGCCGGTTGCTCATCGCTACTATCTGCGTGGTCTCGTGTTCTTTCGTTTCAGTTTCTTTATTTTTAATAATGCACGGCACAAGATCAAAAGAGTGTTCCTAGGTTTGCTTCGTTCCCTTTCTCCTAACTCGTTTATTACTTCTCTTTTTGCAACAACAAGGGGAGGGGGCCGCTGTTTACGTGAAAGTGAACATCGAGAGACGCCGCGACGAGGATCTTCCCACCTCGCGACCGCCTCTCTCTGGCGACTTACAACTTAGAGATATGTTAAGAGACTATGCCGTTCGTTCAATAACACCACAAACGATTCTGTGCTACAACCATTTTATTGGATACAATTCGTACAGTTGGCAACTGATCGTCTCGGTTACAAGCTATGGTTATTAAACGAATGACATCGTGTAAATTTTCTCCCGAACCATATTTATCTATGATAATATCGATGTTTATGCGTAATACCGGGATAAATAGCTCGAATTATATCTGTTAGCTATTGATTACTTCGTGAAAGGTTTCTTAAATGCTTGCGGTGCTTCGGTCGCCTAATGCTCGTAAGAGGGGGTGGAGTGGACTTAATTGCTAGCTCTGGCTAAACCTAAGTGATTGATGTATATATCTCTTCCGAGGTCGCATCTGCACCGACTCTCGTTTCTTTTACTATTTTCAACGAATTTCTATTTCGTGTATACATACAGAGTGTCCCAGAGAAAGTGTTAGAACCAAGAAGGGGTGATTCTGGAAGTATTTATGAACAATGATTTCCTTTTACAAAATGGAAAGTGAAACTTGGTTCTTGAATTATCAATTAAAAATACTGAGGATTCGAGCCACCCGTGGCACTACATGATCTTATGGGTCGGTGTTTTTAATTAATAATTTAAAAATCATGCATTTTCCATTTTGTCCAAGGAAATCATTGTTCATAGACCACCTCCAGAATCACCCCTTCTCGGCTCCGACACTTTTTCTGGATTACCCTGTACATACATGAATCGAATTAATCTCTGAAGAACATATGTACGTATATAACGTATAACAACGTGCAGATGCGATCCGTTCTACGTCCTTCGTTTATTACTCGTCGATAGATCCCCATTAGGGGGAGAAAACTTAGATATTGGTAACCCTGCGATACTGGGGGGTGAAAGAGAAAACTTTCGGAGATAGACACTCACTTTTTCAAAGGCACTGTTCCCTGGGGCCCCTGCCCTGCGCCGTTCCTGGCATCGGTGACCCGGCAGGCCACCATACTATACGCTGAAAGCAGTTCTACAATGTTACAAGATTATGTTAAATGAGTATGCGCTCAGGATCACAGCTGCTCGCCCGGCTCCTGCGTTACTGGCTCATCCGCGCCTCCCTCGATTAATCGGATACACTTTCCGGTACCGAGTCGAAGAAGATCCGAGGGACACGAGATGGCCGAGAGCCCAGGTGCAGGCCAGACTCGGAGAAACAACCACCAATCCGCGCTTATTTACAAGAGATGCTGCTAACGATCCACTATAATCGCTTATCTAATCCGATAAGCAATACAACTTTACACACAAGATTAGTAGATTCTCTTTTAACAGAGAAAATCAGTTCGGTTTGCAATAACGTTAGCAGCAGCTCCGTGCTCGACATGGCGCGGCTTAGCCCTACCTTTCTCCTGTTTTCGTCTTTTCCGCTTATTGCAAATCTTCACCGCGCATATGCTGAGGATGATCGCGACGATGAAGAACAGTATACCACCGACGACGCCCGCGGTGATCGCCTTGTGCTTCACCCGGGCCGGCACCGGAAACTTCACCTGGTCGCTGGCGCCGTAGTTGGTCGCCGAGTTGGCAAACACTTGGAAATAATAGGTCCTACCGCCGACCAGATTCTTCACTGTACCATGAAACACATAACCCGTCCGTCCATTTACTCCATCGTTTTTAATCCCCTCGGTCGTGGTTAACGATTATTAAATACACAGAAGTGGGATACGTTTGACAGTGTCTTATGAAAGGAGGAATTCCTTCGGGAGTTAATCGGACGCTGCGGAGATAAATGGAGCGTGGACGTAATAAAGGGGGAGCATACCCAAATAGCTGGTTTCCTCGGGTCGGATTTGTCCCTTGTTGAGCTTTTTCCAGGGTCCGTCCGTCTTGTACTTGATGGTGTAGTACTGGATCAGGTGATTACGCTCCGTGGGGGCTTCCCAAGATATCAGGAAACCGTTGCTGACCTCTGTCACCGTCAGATTCTTGGGAGGACCTGGCTTTGGTCCTAACGATTCGCGTCGCATTAATAATAGTCAGAAAGACCGAGGGACCGAATAAGAGGAACAACGGTTCCTCTCACGGTTGTTCTCTAATCATTTTCAACGATTTACTTGCGCGCGTTTACTTGCCTCGGGGTTTAGCCAAGTAACGACAGTTGCAAATTGGAATTGAACGCGTTAATAAGGTCTGACGAATGAATGCCGGAAGTAATTAAGTCGTGACACTAATGCATGTAAGTAGTGACGAAACAAGATGAGCTCACGCGTCTCCGATTCCATCGAGAGGTTGCGTCAATATCCGCGACGAGATAATATTACCGTTCCTCGCGATTCGTTCAACACCCTCCCTCCCCGTTCCCTCTCACCGTCCCCGCGATTTCGCGTGGAAAGAAAGTTAGGAGAAATATTTCTCTGTTTACGCGGCGTTAAATGAATCAACGGTAAGAATTAATTCCTCGTGTAAATAGCGCAGCGACGCTTGGCTCGGCTTAATTGAGGGGAAAAGTTGATGACAGAATAATACATAGAGGGGTAAAGCAGTTGGCGTTGTTTTCTCTGTCACGCCGATAAAATTTGCAAACGTTAAACAATACCCCGGACACAACGCGATCAATTTTACCGATGAAAAAATACACCTGCTCTCGGTGCGAGCCGATATTTCACCGATCGTTCCTGCGGTATTTACCGTGTCCCTATTTGTTAACTTCATTTCCGTGCCGGTGCGTGCCGAATAAATTCGTCGACCGCGCGGCGCGTACAAATAAATCCGCGCCACCCGTGCATTTGGAATCGGCGCGCAAACTCACGCGTCCTCTTAAAAGCGCGTATACACAAAAATATAAATGGATCCTCGATGGCGAACGGCGCGCCGGGGATATCGTGAATAACCGAAACCCGGTTATTGTATTCGCGAAAAGCTTTTTACCAATGTAACGGCCGCGAGTGGCTGCAATTAATTCGCGTTGCCTCCGAATGGAAATTTCCCGCCCCCCGTCCCTGTGCCGAGAGCAAACCTGAATTTTCCCGTTTTTGTCCGCCATTCTGATTTTGTTAACGCCGCGACCCTCTTTTCATCTACATATCGCCCGGCGATCGTTCCTCCTCGCTGTTTTCTCTCGCCTCCGAACTCCGAGGAATTCGCGGTGTTTCTTAACCCGTAGATAAGACGACGCAGTTCGTCGAACTTCCGGCGAGAACCGTGGGCTCGGAGCAAGCAGGTCGATAATGGGACAACAAAGCTGACAAACAGCGAGAAAAACCGATCGGCGTGCTTGAAAAGTCAACTTCGCGGCCGAACGCACGTTCCCTGCTAACGAGATTACGCGTTTTAGTGATTCTCTTTTGCCTATTTTTTTTTTTTTGTTTTTTCTTTTAATTGACTTTCTGCATCGCGCGATTCATCAGAAATTTTCACCCGATACGCATTCAAACCTTCGCCGGATTTTTTGTAATGTTCAATCATACTACTTTTTCCCGTTAATAGAATAATTCATTTAAATCCGGGATTAAGGAAGGAAGATGCGTAAAGAAAGTTCGAGTTAGAATCGAAGTTTTCCATCGAGCTTCCGCGGAGAGTCTCATCGATCAGTTCGTAAGATTTAATTAAAAAGTTTCGTGATCGGTGAAACGCAACGAAAGTGATGAGAAATCAAAGAAATAAACAAAATACCTTTTGGGAACGCATTGCCGGTGGTATCGGCCGGTAACGTGGCGATATTATGATCTGAGACGTCTGAAACGAGAGAAAAGAACTCTGGAAACGTAAGAAATCAGAGCTTCGAAATGGACGGGTGATCGTGCCGTAATAATGGGTCGCGGAGCAAAGGGAGAGGAGGCCCCGGACCGAGTAGAAGAGGATATCCTCGCGAATCCGATCCACCGGAATTCTCGTTAAGCTGGCTGTAATCGCGTTACTCGAGGCGGGCTAACGAGTTTCGAGACCGCTGATGCGTAGACGCTGGTTGCTGTGCGACGCGATGACCGGGACGGGACGGGACACGGGGCGCGGGCCGGGAAAAGGCAGAAATTGAAGCGGCGGGAAAAGAAACGGCCGAAGGATGGAAAAGCTCGCGCGTCTGTTCGCGAGTTATTAGCGGAAATCTCTGGATCCGGACACGTTATTAATATGGAAATGCCGGACAAAACGGACGGGGGACCGCGGGTTTTACGATCTGGGATTACGTGTCCGCGTACAGATGTATGAAATAAAGATATACGAGATAGAGATTTACGGTGAAGAAACGACGCGGAGGGGCCGCGCCGAGGGATATACCGATGGCCGGGGGATTGGAGATCGACGACGGAGTCCTCCTCTTTGGGACTCGGCAGCCGGATAAAAATCTGTGGAAGCTCGTGCAGGAAAAATCGAGGCACCGTGTGTACAAATGGAAGGCAATGAACCGACGGATTCGAGGGAAGGAAATAAAAGCGGAAATAGAATGAACGGCTCGATGGGTTTTCCGATACGATAAGTCGCGACGGAAGTCTTCCGTTCCTTTCCTCTTTTGCGCCCCGCTTCTTCTCTGCCCTGTTTCTCTTTTCGAGGGCGAATTTTAGTGTAACTTTGAAATTCTCGCGCACAATCGGTATTTTCCGGCGAGGGAAATTCCACAGCGATCGGTCGAACGGGTGAAACAGAAAGATGGGAGGGGGGGCGAGGCTTTCCCTCCGCGCGAGGCATCTTTACGAAATCGTTCAACTGGCACTCTTTGTTAGCAAAGCGAGATTGTTTTTAAGGGGAGCCTCGATTCGAACTCGGCTTATGGTCGATCGCGTTCAAATACAAGATTGTCCCTTTGATTCCGGACTGTTTCTACCCCGAGTCAGTTCGCGTTTCTTCCGCTCCTCGCGAAGAACTTTCCAAGAACGACTCTACCACGCGTTTAATTGTCGCCTGCTCAACCTTGTACAGCTTGGGACAATGATCCTCGACCCGTTTCTGATTCTTTTAATTCTCCCCGGAGACCCGAAGATAATAAGAGAAATCCATGCCTCATTTTTTTCAATGCTCGATTAACACATTTCGTTAAATACTAACAGATTCTCTATAATCACCCGGAAATAAGTTGGAATACTTAATCCTGCGTTAATATTGTTTTGCATTTTGATTACATTTTTAAAACCTAGTAAAAAGGAACATACATTTTCAAATTAAGAAAGAAATGGAATTCAGTTTTTCCCAAAGCCGTCATGTATATAAAAATCTTCATAAGGAAATGAGAACGTAAATTTTCATTTATATACTGTCTAGATTTAAAATTTTCTTTTATTTTGGAATGTCAAAATCCAGCCAGTTCCAGATTAAGCATTAAAAAAATTCGGCATATATTATTACTATTTTTCGATCTCGTCCCCATAGGGAAAACTAACACGATCAAAGAAGGGGACGAGAATCATTGTCTCAAGTTGTCCACGAAGGAAGCAGCAACTGAGCTGTCGTTAGACACTGCGTAACATTATATCTGGATGTAAGATCTTACCGCTTTCATCCGTGGCTGCAGCTTGACCGGCGCTCGAGGATGGCGTCGCTGAGTGAGTCAGTGCCACGTCTTCGAGGGGTGAAGAAAATAGATAAATCAAGGAACCAGTTTGCATTGGGCATGCGATTTGTTAATCGGTCAACAAGACTGTTAGTCGGACGAGATTTGGAATTTAAAGAGAGAAGAAGTTACGGCACGTTTTACATTTAATAATAATAATAACACTAATAAAAATACTTTATTTCACGACAGAGCCCATTATAACACAATAGAATACAGTAAAGATGTAGTAACAATAACGGACGTAAGAAGAAATAGAACAGAAAGAAAAGAAGAAGAAGACGTATATGATAAAAAGTGGTTACCGAGCGTCCTGATTGTAATGAGTTTGCTCAGCATCCCATCGCCCAGGGCGTTCTTCCCGATCACCTGGAACTCGTACAGCATACCTGGCGTCAGACTGTTGATCGTTACCGACGTGCTACCAGACGGTGTCACCGGGATCATCTTCCATTCCGACGTTCCCGATTCCCTATACCTAATTAAATCACACATAATTCTCTCTGTACTTTAAAAAATATAATTACATAATTACATTAATTTTTTTATAATAAATGTACATGTTCTGATAAATTTTTTTACGTCACGACATACCAGATAGTGTAATCCTGCTTGTAATCAGGTCCCCCGGAGTAACCCGGCAGCCAGCTCAACGTTACAGAGAACTCGGTCGCGGTCCCGGTTACGTTGTAGGGCGCGTGTGGCTGCGTGCCCTCGACGATCAGTTGCGTAGAGGCCAAGATCGTGGCCACCTCGTTCGACGCGACGCATTGATAAAAACCAAAGTCCGATCGACGCAGGCTCTCGATCGTTAAATTGCCACCGATGATCTTGGCCCGGTTGCGTGGAATAGACGAGCCGTCCCTCTGCGCAATTAAACCGTGACGTGAAACGTGAGCCCCGACGTTTAACGAGCCAGGGGAGATTGAAACTCCGTTCCCTTTGCCCGGTTAATCGATCTTTTATACCGGAGTGAAACGCGAACGGAAATCGATGCGACCCGAGCGCAGCGGATGGGTGCTGCGTTAATTTTTCTTAATTGCGATTTAATTGAACGCTCGCAATTTGTTATTCTAATCTTTAGCCTCCGCCCACTGGCGTAATTAAATTTTTGTGCGTGCGATAAAAATGCAAGAATTTTAACGAACTTCGCAGGCAAACGAATAAAGAAGAATTTATTTCGGATCGAATGTCAACATAAATTCGTTTATTCGATCATACCCTGTGCCATTGTATCGTCGGCTTCTGGGTTCCTTCGGCTTCCTGCGCGTCGCAGTGCATCTCTACGGCCTCGCCCACCTTCTTCTGGTAAATCGGTTCCGGTTCGAGGGTGAACACGGGCGGATTCCGCACGAGCACTTCCATCGGTCCGGAACTGCCCTGCGTCCCCTGCGCGTTATAAGGCGTGCAGGTGTACCGGCCCTGGTGGTTCTCATTCACTCGCATAAACAGCAACGAGCCGTTGTTCATCACGACGATGTCCTTCGTCTGGTACGGTTCCAGCAGCCTCTTGTCCTTCGTCCAGGTCACGTATTGCAGAGTCGGGTTCGCCTTTATGTAGCAGTGGACCACGCCAGCCAAACGAAACGGCAGATACTGCACCGTCGGGGTAAACGTCACCTTCGCCGGATCTGGAGTCGATTTTTCGTACAATTTAATCGTAGCCAAGTTCAATTGTGGTCACGAGTTAAAACGACTAAAAGAACTCACATTCTACGTTGAGGTAAGCGCTGGCACTTTGGGGATCGCCGATGCCGTTCGTCACCTCGCATAGGTACTGCCCGGAGTCGTCGGCGCTTACAGGATTGATCACGAGGCTGCCGTCGGCCTTGATCGACACTCTCGTGTCCAACGCGGAGACCTCCGTCACCGGGGCGCCCTCGCGGAACCAGCGAACGGTCACGTTGCCGGGCAGAGCCTTCGCCTCGCATGAAAATTGCACCTTTTCGCCCTCCAACTTCGTTTGGTTCGTCGGTGGCACCGTGATCACCGCACCGCCTGTAAATTAAGAAACATTAAACACTTATTACTATTATATATACATAAAGAGTTTTGCTTGTATGTTAATAAAAATCATAAAAATAACTGAAGTATTCACAACGTTTAGGCTTTTGCATATACTCCGGAGTATCATAGAGTGTATTTTCTATTTATTAATTTCTAAAACTAAAGACATTATTTTAAATAATTGAAGCATAATTCTGTTCCTACTGGGATTATGACCGCGGAACGGCGGCGGAACGGAGGGAAAAAGTCTCAGAGAAGCTTTCTATAATTCTGTACAGTGACTCGAGTTGAAAACCGCAATCGACGGTATTATGTAATAAAAATTTACTGTTTCTTAATCTACTCGGAGAAGTTTTGTCCCTAAGAAAGTAATTTTGAACGACAACTATGAGTATCGAGTTACCAAGATTGGGAAAAGGTAACAGAGGGATGAAAGGGAGCGACGGTGATGCTGGCAGCCCGTCAGAGACGTCAGTCTGGTTCGTGCCGGAAATACGCCGGCCAACCAATATCCTGGCAGAAACGATGAGCTCCCGCGTCGACGAGAAGCTTTTAACTTCGGTCTGGCGCGGAAACGCGTCGCGAAAATTCGATTTTCATCGCTGCTCGCATCGACACGTCACAGGCGACGATAAATAAACAAATCGTATCTATGAATCGTTTCAATGAGCTTTAAGTTTTCCGTAGGAAACGAGCGGGAATTCGAGGGCAAAACAGGCCTGTAAAAAAAATCCAGTTACCTGCTTTCCTTACTCGAACGACTTTCCGTTCTCGGAGCCCCGGACACACAGAAAGGATCAACAGGGTGCATTATATTCCCATCGATACCAAAGAGCACTCTCTGAGGAAGCGAGGAGGAGCGTGCTCGAAGAATTTTATAACTTGTGGCTTTCGAGAAAGGGGAACGGTGAGGGTTTCAACTGAGACTGAGGGGGATTCGAGTTCGGCCGAATATCTCGACGTATATAATGGGAAGAGGGAATCGATCTCGGCCAACAAAAGAGCCAACTTCTTCCCCGGGATCCGACGGTATTTTCTGCAATCCGATCTATCTTCGCCGAGAATTAAGTTCGATCGCGTTCCCGTGCGAACGAGGCGGCGACGTCTCCCGTCCGCGTTTCAACTTTCCGCTACCGTCGGGAACGCGCGCAAACTTTCTAACGACGAAAATTAATTGTCCCTACGTCGCGTTCGCGCGATTCAATTCCCCGCAACGGCGGGCAACCGTGAGCGCTTTTGAAACAATGAAAACCGGGGATCGGGTCGGTCGCGGCGATCGAATCGGCTTCGCTGGGGAACCGCAACCGCGAGCGTCAAACGGCGGCCGGGCGTGCCGCGGATTCCGCGACGACGAGAAGCGCGCGAAGTGAACTCCACAAAGGGGCCTCCCGCCTCCTGACAAACGGGGAACGATGATATTCGACCCGGAATCTGTGGAACCCGCGTGCCTGACAACGCGATGAATTCGTAACCGGCCCGGATAAATATTCACAGGCCGAATTTAAAATTACCAAACCCCGCCGGCGCAGGGAATCTGATCTTCTGATAATTTATCGCGTCCTACCTATTCACGATACAGCTGGGATGAATTCACGATGCGAACAATGCTGAGCAACGTTTTTCCTCTTGGTAAAACAATTACAACCCTCCGAGCAGATAAACTTGTAACAAACATTATTATCAGAGGGTATTTGCGCATTTGGACAATGGGATTCAACGGAGGGGAACGGCGCCGCAACCGGGATGAATTTCGGAGCAGGAAGCTCGGTAAATATTCAAAGAGCAGATTCAAAAGTTTCACGCCGACGAGTGGTGGAGGCAAGTTCGTAGGAGCCAGTCCCGTCGGCGTCGGTTGCTCGAGGAGCCTCCGCATTAATGGTGCAGTCTGTCGGTGGTGTTTTATATACGCGTCGGAGCACGAGCGAGAGAGAGAGAGAGAGAGAGAGAGAGAGAGAGAGAGAGAGAGAGAGAGATTCCCTCCGCCCCTTCGCGTCTACTTTGCACCCACTGGGTGCTCCATGACTCGCGAGCCGCGGTGCCTACGGTTTATTAGCTCGAAAACTTTCGACGGACTTTCTGCCTATATAAATCTCCCCGTGAACCGAGTGCGTCGCGATTTTTCAGACGAATCAAGAGTCAGCCAATCCGAACGAAATGGCTCTGGAATTAAATCACAGATTCAGAAATACGACTTGCACTTTTACACCCTGAGACGACGCGGCCACGAATCGCCAATTTTTTCTATAAGCCTGTACGTATTAAATTGTTCAGTCGTTAACTGTACGGTAAAAGCCAAGAAGAAAGGCTAGGAACGCGATGATGAAGATGAATGTTCCCGTAACCGAGTACAAATCTGTGGCTGGGAAGCTCGAACGGGGGAGAGGGTGACGGTGGGAAAGAGACAAATCGCCTTTTAACTGGTCCCTCCGCGAGGAACATCCTAATTGGCTCCCAGCGCCGGAAACTATCTCTAACGCGAATTTTATCGCGCGGCCAACGATAGTCGATAACCGGGCGAACGCGATTCTTCCTTTTTTTTTTTTTTTTCTGCACACTTTACGAGGTACCTCGGAACAGTAATGGATGCACCGGCCTCTGTAAGATGCTTATGCAATCTTTCGCGCGAGCAAATTGTTATTATCTCTCCCGTGGGCACCTTCCAAGGAGCTGTTAAGGGTCCACGGGAGATAAGAGCTCTTCCTTTTGCCTCTTCCTTCTTGCGAGACGCAGTTTAAGTACACTGTCGCTTAAAGTTATGATTCCGCGGTACAACGGTTCCCGTTACCGTGGACACAAATTTAACGCGGCGGTAAACTATTTAAGAGAACTGATGTTCAACGAACAAATTTTCAACGTTATTTCCATAGCAGATTCTAGTAGAACGAGATGGGGAGGGGGGGTAGGGGGTGGGGAGGACCGCTGCGAGATTACGCGTTCGATTATTAGATTAACGGAGCAGAGATTGTTACAGACTTTTGAGCGACGATGTACGCGCGCCTTGGCCATAATTAGAACCTCGGATAATTAAAATATGCGCGGAGGAGCGAAAGAGGAGCGAGAAGCGGCAAGTGGCTGCGAGGAAGTTCGAAACTGCTCGGCTGGTCAATTTTACGAGCGGCCCCGAAGACGTTCCGCAGATTAAAAGCAGCGTAAAAGTTACACCGTTATATACCGTCGATGGGGTCGACGGATGAGTGCGAGGGAGGAGGAAGGGCAGGTTTTCAACGGTCCCATCGGGGTCGATTCACTGGAACGAGACTTTAAGAAGTTCCATAAAATCGCCGGCAAAAACCCGCGGCCCCGGAACTTCGTTTTAACCTCTTACCACGGAACGGAGGATCCTTCCTAGGATCGATCCGGGCATTTCCCGACGAGCGAATCCGGCAACAAAAACCGTACCGGTTGTACCGAGGCGTTGCGGTTATCGGAATTTCATTATCGGCGCTCGATCGATTATAGCAGCTACCGAAAATACCCCCGATAACTTCTAATAACAAGCCGCCTCTCGATAATTATCGTGCCGATCCCCCGTATATTAATTATCGGCACGCGGGGAATTTCTGCCCCCAACCTCGAAAATTCGCCGTCAAACAGAGCCGATCCCTCCCCTCGCATCCGTCACGAAACGCACGAGATATGCAACAGAATTTATTATACAGAATTTCTGAGCGCGATCATTTCTAACTTGGTATGAAAAGGCTCGCAATAACAATTAAAGCTCGCGGGTATCCAAAGACTGTCGGCTGACGAGTTAATCTTTGTTCTAGAAAAGTGTCGTGTTGTCTGATTAGCGCACGTTATTCCTGAAACGAAACGCGGGTTGATGAGCACGGTTTTTGTCGCGGTCGAGTGTCACGCCCCGTGAAACGAATTGGATTACGCGACCGCGTGCCGCTAATCCGCTGTCTGACGAGGCGCCGCGCGTCTGACTGAAAAGGTCCGCTACCACTGCCGCTCGCGATTCGTCAAACGTTGAATGCATTAGAGTCTAAAGAACATTTGTCTCTTGTTTTTATAACGAGCAATTGTTCCTCGTACACGTAGGGATCCATTCACTTGCATTCCTTTACAATTTCTGTACTGAATCAGTAAAATGCATCGTGCAATAGAATAATAAGATGTAATTTCGTATCGCGTTTTAATGATTCGATTAATTTTCGACGTTCGAGTATTTCAAATTTCGTCGATATTAACGTGGTTTTATTAAAATGTAAGGAAGCACAGATCGTAATCAAATTGTAATCAATGTTTGTTATTCTTCAGATTTTAATGAAAATGTACGATTGAATATTTGTGTCAGTGAATAAATTTTTGCAGTAATAAAGATTAACCCTTTCGCTTCGAGCGCCGCTTATAAGCGGCGCGCAGAGTATGACCTGTGGGTACGAGCGCCGCTTATAAGCGGCGCGCATAACATGTTTTGTGGGTACGAGTAAGAATGACAAAAGATCCGACTCACGATACGAGTGTAAAGAGTGTGATGTTGGTTTATGCGTAGATCCGTGCTTCAGAATTTATCATACGAACTTATACTACTAATCACTTTATATTAATATATTAACTTGTTTGCGGATAATAATTAATTAAAATTTAAATCTTACTTGTAACTTTTAAGTTGTAAATATTTTCATACCAAAAATGTAAATAATACTCATTATATAGTAACAAAGATTGTTTTATTTAGCAAAATTGTTACTTAAGACCTAGGAAAACGTATATAGAGCAACAACGCATATTGTGCGTATTCGCGGCGCGCGCGCCCGTACAGAGACAGTACTTCGGCGGACTGGACATCCGAAGCGAAAGGGTTAAATAGATGTAATTTAATATTGAAGTATACAGGAGACATATTAATAGGAGCTATTGAATTTAATATGCTCGAAATCTGCAGATTACGAAAAAAAAATAGGTATCGAAAGGATAAAAGGACTTGACTGCAGAATTCGTATCGAATCACCTTAAAACACTTACCAGCGATGATGACGCGTGCAGTGTGACTGATCTGGCCCTCGCCGTTGCGCGCGATGCAGGTGTAATCGCCGATGTCCTCGTTCTTAATCGTCGAGATCCTTAGTTCGGTGCCGTCGTTGAATATCCCGATGGTGCTGGACGGCTCGACCGGGTTCGCGTCCTTGTACCACAGTATCTCTGGCGTCGGCGTACCCTCCGCCTGACAGTTCAATATAATCGCGTCGCCGACGTTCACGTAGATCATCTCCTCCGGCGTGATGCTAAATTTCGGTGGCGCTGCGGAAACGAACCAATCGTTTTTACCCTCGACGTGTGAATTTCTCGGAACTGCAAGCATAATCGCGAAGTCGAGAATGGTCGGACACCATTTATGTACCGTGCGCGCAAAGATTAAACAACCGGGGCTGGCGGTTGTTGGCGGTCAGACCCAGCGGGTCGGCTGATTGCGATTGTTTCTTCTTCACTTTTTTTTTTTTTTGCATCGATCGTCGAGTCGAGAGATGGAAGCGTAGCGAGAAGGTGGAGCGAGGCGGTGATTTTTATGGCAGTCGAAGAAACCGCGTGCGCATTACTCGAAGGAAACGGCATTAAGGGAACAATCAAACCGTCGTTCGACGCTTAGAAATCGCTTCCGCGCGACGACGACGACGACGACGACGACGACTCTGTCTCTTGCCGAACGTTTTTACCGTCGACAAGTTTCCATCCATGAGGAATCACCGGGTGCGGAGGCGGCCCTTCAACGACCTCGACGACCGCCTCTGCACAAAGGATCGTCCATTTTCGCCGCGTAAAGCACAGTCTTTGAGAACAATGAAAGAGGGAAAGAGAGCAATCGAGTCACCGGCGAATCCGCCACGGTGGATGACAGGAGAATTCACTGGAATTTCGTCGTTCTTTCCCTTCTCGATTCTTTCGCCATTCGTTCCGTGGGAGTATCAGTCGCAAATAGATTCGATATTCTACGTTGAATTCACGAATTTTGGCGAGCAATTGGCTGAAACGAGATGTAGACTCTGCGCGCAGCTTCCGGGTCACGGGGGTTGGTGGGAGGGTCATAGATGGAGATCCAAATTTGTACATCTGTCGCACCGGAGAAGACGGAGCCCGAAGGCGAAGCACGAGGAACGGGCGACAATTTACAAGCGCAAACGACCGGACATAGGCTTGAACAAAAAGAAGGGGGGAGAGAGTACAAAGAGACTCGGGGCGGTTTTCGCTGGACGAGCGAGTTCTCTCCTCTCTTCGACGCCTCTGGCAGATCCTTAGACGTCGCAATCGCTGACTCGTCGCCGTCGTCGTTGACTGCGATCACGCGGTCGAGTGTGGCCGTGGGCTTGCGTACATACATACACACATATATACATACATACATATACACACACACGTGAACACGGAGGGAACAACACGGGGGAACGGGTGAAAACGGCGAGCGCGATGAGAACACGGCGGTCGAGGTGTGACGAGATGGGAGTGGAAAGAAGTACCCGCTCCCGTTCTCTGAGCCATCTAAATGTTTCTCTTTCCCCGCGGCCGTCCGTCGTCGTTTATGGCCGAACAAAACGCGGCAATAAGTTTTCCTTTCTCCGCGCCACCCGTTTCTTCTACGCCCTCCGCCGCTGCGCGTTTCGCCCGCGCTCTTATCGCCCGGTTCAATGACCCCGTCGTCCTCGACGTCGCTCACGTAACGCGTAGAACTTTATCGCGTCGCTCGGCGAAAGAATTGAATTGAATTCCTGGAAAGGGACGCCGCCGCCGCCGCCGCCGCCACTGGTTTCCTTCCCATCTACTTCGTCTTCCCTTTCTCTTGTTTCGTTTCTTATCAGCGATTCCTTACCGGATTTCCCTCGAACCCGCACCCCCCTCAGCTCTCCCGGCCTGTTTTTATTCGAGACGAGGATCGGCGCGTCCGAGGATATAAAAATTCGCAAGTCCTCCGAGATACGACTCTCTTGCGGATTTCCTCCCAGCCAATAGAAGTACACTGCTCTACTCGTTGCGGTCACTGAAAGCTCGGTCCCGGGTTTGAGATTAACGAGGCCACCCTGAGTCGACATAACTTTCGCTCGGAAAGGAACTTCCGACTGAAATCGTGTCCGTGCTCTATTATCGTGGCCGAGTCTTTTTAATCGATCCGTAATCGCATTTCCTTTCCATCGCGGACAACTTTTCTTAAGTGGAAATTCTTTCGGAACGCGGAACTCTCCGGCGATGATGACTCGAACCCACCACTGACGTCAGCTAACCGCGCGATTAGGCTGACCGGTCGTGCAGAACTGATACTACGCCCCGATTTAACCACGATGCTGACTAAACCGATGTCCAAGCACGCTCGGAACCGCACGGTGATGTCATGATTGGTGAACGATTCTGACTTTCGACGAGACGATCGGTTAACTCTTTCAGTCAATTCTTCGTTGCAATTAGTCGGATTCAATATTAAAAATATACAATTGTTGTAAATATTTTTACGAGCCAAGCAAAAATTGTTACGGTTTTGTTAATTTTTAATAAACTGACGTTGTCGCAGTAAATTCTGAACGATGAAAATTAGAGAACTCTCTGTCTGATTCTGACACAGTTGAAAGAGTTAACGAAGAAAAGCGTAGCGCGTGGATTTAGGCCGCGCGAGTTTGCTACTCACCGTGGACATCCAGATGGAACCAGGTGCCGTTCTTGAGGTTCTTCGGCGACCTGTTGAGGAAGTCGACCTTGCACTCGTACCATCCTTGATCGCTCTCGCGGATGTCGGTCAGATTGAGGCTCGCCAGTCCGTACGGCGAATTCGGGCTCACCCTCGAGACTCGGCCTTTGTAACCCTCGCCGCTGTGGGTCGGATACGACTCGTACCATATGTATATCGGTGTCTCCTGTCCCTTGCACCAACACCAATACGCAACATAAACGAGGGATCGCCGTGTACGCGTACACACCGGTGCGAGGCTCTGATCGATACGACGTTCGTAAAATTCGATTCAATTCTCGGATCATTTCCGCGATGTCTATCAGCTCGCACCGGGTTGACGGCCGATGAAATGACGAATGACGGAGAGATAGAGAAGATGCAGCGTGTGTGTGTGAGAAAAAGAATAGGCCATCTCTACGGGCAGCGATCGGTCGTCGAGTCTTGACCGAGCGAGCGAGCGAGCGTAACGAGCATCAAGGATGATCCAACGTGAATCGCCGTGAAAAAGGAATCCGCTTAAATTTTCATGCTCGTTACATCCCGTCCCCTCCCGGTCCCGAGGACACGGACAACTGTCATTTTCCATGCAAGCCTTCTACCGGCAAAGAAAAGAATTCGTTCGCGCACCGATGAAAAAGTAATCCCCAGGCATAGAGCGTGCGTGGGCAGGCCGGAAGGCGCTACTGGCACTGGCATACTGGAAAACGGCGAGTCGCACGAAACTTTTATGCGATACGTGCCGTGCAAAAGCTCGAAGCTACCCCTGTCGATCTTGGATCCTTTTAAGTCCTTGCAATTTCGATTCTCTTTGCCCGAAAGGCAAACTGCTTTAACGAGGCATGAAAACTAGCTGGAAATATGAGAATTGCCATAGAGAATATCAAATTTTATTACTAAAGATCGACAGTCCTGCTTCTCGTGACTGTATCAAGCCTGGCGTAAAAAGGAAAGTACTGTGAAGGCATGCGTAACAACAGGAATAGAATAGTGGCTCGCTACTATAGAGATATGCTTGCTACGCCGTCAGTTTTTAGGCAATGTCGAGATGCGAGACCGTGCAGTGCGTGCGTAAAAATGACCGGCGCGTGCATTAAAAACAGCAACGGTGTTCGCAATTAATTAATCGGGCGCGTTAAACCCGTCCGACTGCCGCTCATCGCGTGCGATGATGGGTTACCGAGGTTCGTAATTAAATATACGCATTTGGATTTTACAAGATCCCGCGATTTCACCAATTGATTTTGTACGCGAATAACAACCGTTTGCAATTTTTACATCCGAATTTTTGCATGATATACGATACTTTAATCGGCTGATGAAAAATCCTGTCTGCGGCCGATATAAATTATTCGTTTCAATTTTCATGAATCCCCGATGGATGATTGAATTATCGCCAATTAAACCAAATTTCGATTTTGCATTACGATTAATGAAGTACGTATAAGAGCAATATGCGGGTATTTTATTAATATNCATACACACATATATACATACATACATATACACACACACGTGAACACGGAGGGAACAACACGGGGGAACGGGTGAAAACGGCGAGCGCGATGAGAACACGGCGGTCGAGGTGTGACGAGATGGGAGTGGAAAGAAGTACCCGCTCCCGTTCTCTGAGCCATCTAAATGTTTCTCTTTCCCCGCGGCCGTCCGTCGTCGTTTATGGCCGAACAAAACGCGGCAATAAGTTTTCCTTTCTCCGCGCCACCCGTTTCTTCTACGCCCTCCGCCGCTGCGCGTTTCGCCCGCGCTCTTATCGCCCGGTTCAATGACCCCGTCGTCCTCGACGTCGCTCACGTAACGCGTAGAACTTTATCGCGTCGCTCGGCGAAAGAATTGAATTGAATTCCTGGAAAGGGACGCCGCCGCCGCCGCCGCCGCCACTGGTTTCCTTCCCATCTACTTCGTCTTCCCTTTCTCTTGTTTCGTTTCTTATCAGCGATTCCTTACCGGATTTCCCTCGAACCCGCACCCCCCTCAGCTCTCCCGGCCTGTTTTTATTCGAGACGAGGATCGGCGCGTCCGAGGATATAAAAATTCGCAAGTCCTCCGAGATACGACTCTCTTGCGGATTTCCTCCCAGCCAATAGAAGTACACTGCTCTACTCGTTGCGGTCACTGAAAGCTCGGTCCCGGGTTTGAGATTAACGAGGCCACCCTGAGTCGACATAACTTTCGCTCGGAAAGGAACTTCCGACTGAAATCGTGTCCGTGCTCTATTATCGTGGCCGAGTCTTTTTAATCGATCCGTAATCGCATTTCCTTTCCATCGCGGACAACTTTTCTTAAGTGGAAATTCTTTCGGAACGCGGAACTCTCCGGCGATGATGACTCGAACCCACCACTGACGTCAGCTAACCGCGCGATTAGGCTGACCGGTCGTGCAGAACTGATACTACGCCCCGATTTAACCACGATGCTGACTAAACCGATGTCCAAGCACGCTCGGAACCGCACGGTGATGTCATGATTGGTGAACGATTCTGACTTTCGACGAGACGATCGGTTAACTCTTTCAGTCAATTCTACGTTGCAATTAGTCGGATTCAATATTAAAAATATACAATTGTTGTAAATATTTTTACGAGC